AGGGTGGGGTACCAGGGAATGAACTCAAGGGCACTCGACCACTGAGCCACTTCCCTAGCCCTATTTTTTGTATTTTATTTAGAGACAAGGTCTCACTGAGTTGCTTAGCACCTCACTTTTGCTGTGGCTGACTTTTGAACTCGCAATCCTTCTGCTTCAGCCTCCCCAGCTGGGGGAGGTGGAATTACAGGTCCGCACCACCACGCCCAGCTCTCTCTCTTCTTTTAAAGGCAATCTGTCCCATTTTTCTGTTACGATCCTATTTTCCTTCTTCCTTGAGGTCCTGGCTGTTTTCTTCTGCATATATCCCAGCCTATTTTGGAAATTATATACCTGGCACTCAAACTTTGTCTCTTATCATATCCTTTCACCTGAACCATCAAGGTGAGACTTTTAGCTTCTACCAAAGATGAGCTATAGCCTTTCTGAGAAGACGTAAGCCACCATTTATCCACCTCAAAGAAACAGACCTTTCGGCTCAGAAGCAGGAGGCTAAATGTTGTCCAGATCTTAAAAGAGTTATTTTTAGAAAGCAACAAATGGGGGTTTGTTTATGGAATTGGCACCACAGAGCCCATCAATAGCAAAGAACTTTCCTGCTGTTTCTGTAGAAATGTGTGGGGAAGGTTTGGACCAAAAGCAGTTAAAGAAGGCCATTAAGAATATGTTCACAGCTGTCAACTGATGTCTGCACTGTTAGCCCAGCCAAGGCCAAAGGCATCTAGTCCAATAGTGTCTTTCTTTTTTGTTTCTTGTACTGAAGATTTAACCCAGGGTTGCTTAACCACTGAGCTACATCCCTAGCCCTTTTTATTTTTTTTATTTATTTATTTTTGTTTTGATACAGAGTCTTACTACGTTGCTGAGGCTGCCTAAGCCACCATTTATCCACCTCAAAGAAACAGACCTTTTGGCTCATTAGTCCTCACTAGGACTACAGGTATATATCACCACGCTTGGCTAATGTTTTCTAAAATATATATTTTTCGTTAATTTGTGTATACACTGTCCATGTGATTACATGTGAGTCATATTTTTTTTTTTTGTGAAATAAGAACATGCCACCAGCAAACTTTTGGGGTTCCTGGCTCATGGTCAATGATTGAATTCTGATTCATGGAGATTTTTCAGTGTGGGAATTCACTGGGAAACTCACTTTCTGGAGGAGAGCACAGACTGCATCCTGGAGGGAGTGGACACCTCTCTCCCATTTCCTGGCCAAGGCTGAAGAGTACGGTCTGTGTCCCAAGGAAGCCCTGAGGACTCTGCCAGTGGCTTGCCACTCTTCAGTGAATGCTGCAGGGAGCTAGCCAG